TGGTACACACTCACGCACACACACACACGTGCATGCATGTGCATAAACACCCACTCACGCACATTCACGCACACACACATGCATACGCATATATAACACAAGTACACTTACGCGCTCGCACACACACACGTGTATACGCATAAACACGCGTACACTTACGCGCACGCACACACACTCTCACACACACTCACGCACACACACACACTGGGAGATAGAGAGAGAGAGAGAGAGAGAGAGAGAGAGAGAGAGAGACCGAGAGACCGAGAGAGTAAGAGAGAGATGGTAAGAAAGAGATGGACAGTGGAAAGGGAAAAGGGGGGGGGGGTATTTGTATTCTACGAAGATTTTCTTCTTTTCTAAAAAAAAAAAATTCAAACTTAGAAATAAGGAAGGCGGGGTCGTAGGGTTAAACGTTGGCATCTGTTCACCTTATCATCCGACATCTTTCAAACTTTCGCTCTGTCAGAAGACAAGGGCCGAGGAAAGAAAAGTAACCTCAGTGAACATCACCTCTTATTACGACATGTATAATTATAGAAACATCAGTCAGAAGCCAAAGACCCAGGCTTTTGATATGTAACAAAGAAAGATACGGAAGGTCATTTCTACCATCATCCATCAATATTATTCCATCTTAACCATCTTGTTATAAGTATTCATATGACCTTAGAGCATGCATCAGAATAACATTGAGTATGTATCTAACTTAAGATTATTATTGTTTATATTGCTGCTCATTTATATTATGCATGTGATTGTTTGTGTACATGTCTGTGTATGTGTGTGTGTGTGTGTGTGTGTGTGTGTGTGTGTGTGTGTGTGTGTGTGTGCGCGCGCGCGCGCACCTGGTGAAACACCAAACCAATGTGCCAGGATCTGGACAATGAAGAATGGTGTATCTTATCTTATCTTATCTTATCTCATCTTATCTTATCTTATCTTATCTTAATTGATTACCTTATCCGTCACCCTTGAAACATTCGCACTCTCAGAAAGCAATGTTTTGTGTACGTAAAGGAACCTCAACAAGCATCATCTCCTACTGTTGCTCTGCCCACAGAGTTCCCCCGAAGGTCTGGCTACTGGAAGGCTTATGTGACCTTTGACGCCTACTCGAACCTCAGCTTTAAGTGGACAGTGGTCAAGGAGAAGAACCCGTAAGTGAAGGAAAGATGAATTCGTAATTATCTTTTTGAAGAAGGTCGCTTTAAATTTGCCAGGTTTTGAAAATTGGTATTCCAATGTAAAGCGCATTGAGCTACTTACTTTTTTTTGGGGGGGATGCGCTATAATATAAATGTTATATAATATTATTATTTATTATTATTATTAACAGGAAAGTCAGTCTATTGAATATGTGAGACATTAGCGTGCTCATACTGTGCTGAAACAACATAGCGGAAACTGCAACTTTTTCTTTCCTCATCCTGACTATCGTCATTTTTCCTCTACTTCTTTTGTATGTTTGTCACTCTCTTGTGAACTGCTATTTCCGAGGTGCCTTGATAGTCGAAGCAGACTTTGTGCTGTTGAGGCTAGAGAGGTGAGCAGAGTAAGCCTGATTCCCCGTTTGGACTTCTCTGTTGACATCCACGCCTTGGTGCTCGTATGACCTTATGCAGTTGCGAGCGCCGTAAAACCTTCCTCAAACAAACAAACAAACCAAAAAAAAAAAACATTACTCCGTTGTTGTGTTCAGAACCCCGTGTGTAGAACCAGTGTTGTGTTAAGATGTGTTGAAATATTTCTGTTTGTGTGTTTCCGTGTATGCCACCAGGTCAAAGGGGGATAGATTCTTATACAAGAATTGGTGTGTAGAACCATTCGTCCACTACCATGTTGTGTTCAGGACCCTGTGTGTAGAACCAGTGTTGTGTTGAAAGGTGTTGCTGTGTATGTCAGGCCAAGAGTTGTGATACAGGAGTCTGAACCCTGTGTGTAGAACCAGCCTTGTGTTGAAAAATGTGTTGTTGCGTTTCCGTGTTACACAGGTCAAAGGTGGTGGCATAGGACCATGTGTGTAGTCACAGTGTAGAACCAGTCTTGTGTTGAGAGATGTGTTGTTGTGTTTCTGTGTTACACAGGTCAGAGGCGGTGGTACAGGACCATTTGTGTAGAACCATTACAATGTTTGTGTTTGTGTGTTCAGGATGGTGTGTGTTGTGTTGAAAAGTGCTGTTGTGTTCAGGATCCTGTGTGTAGAACCAGTTTTGTATTGTTGTGTGTGTTTCCGTGTACGACAGGTCAAAGATCGTGGTACAGGAGTCGGAGGCCCACTGGATCTATGGACGGACGGCGTGGATGCGAGCCGTGGCCCCATGGGGGAGGGGCGGGCTGGTGGTGGTGGTGGACACTTCCGTCATGGAGGAACCTGCGGACCCCGTGCTGGGCAGGACTGACCTGTTGGTGCGAGGGAAGAGGATGAGGGAGGAGGAGATAGAGAGATGGTTAGGTGAGGATGTGTAGGAGATAGAGAGATGGTTAAGTGAGGATGTGTAGGAGATAGAGAGATGGTTAGGTGAGGATGTGTAGAAATCCATTCGTACCAACTGCAGTGCGGTTACTGAACAAGCAGAGCTACAAATGAAACACACACAGAGAGAGAGAGAGAGAGAGAGAGAGAGAGAGAGAGAGAG